TCCCTCCCTACCTCTCCCTCTCTCCCCCCATCCCCCTACCTCCCCATCCCTCCCTCCCCCTCCCTACCTCCCCCTTCCCTCTCCCCTCCCCCTTCCCCCTCCCCCCCCCCACCCTCTCTCCTCTTCCCCCCATTCCCCCTCCCCCCTCCTTCCCTTTCCCTCCCATCCCCCTCCCCTCCCCCTCTCCCCCCTCCCCCCATCCCACTCCCCCCTCCCACCCCTCTCCCCATCCCTCTCCCTCTCCCCTCCCCCCTCCTTCCCCCCTCCCCCTCCTCCCCCACAGGGCAACCAAGGCGAAGACGGCCTGACGGGCATCAACGGGCTCCCAGGACGCAACGGCTTCAGTCCTCCCAAAGGCGTCCCCATCCCGGGCGACAACGGCCGGAAGTGAGTCGATTTGATTCGTTAATTAATTGGTTGATGGAGTTATTTAATTCGTTAATTAAGGAGTTGGATATTTAATTGGTTATTGGATATTTAATTGGTTATTTAATTGGCGTCCCCATCCCGGGCGACAACGGCCGGAAGTGAGTCGATTTGATTCGTTAATTAATTAGTTGATTGAGTTATTTAATTAATTAATTAGGGAGGGAGGGAGACAACGGCCGGAAGTGAGTCGATTTGATTCGTTAATTAATTGGTTGATGGAGTTATTTAATTCGTTAATTAGGGAGGGAGGGAGACAACGGCCGGAAGTGAGTCGATTTAATTCGTTAATTAATTGGTTGATTGAGTTAATTAATTGGTTGATTGAGTTAATTAATTGGTTGATTGAGTTAATTAATTGGTTGATTGAGTTATTTGATTAATTAATTAGGGAGGGAGGGAGACAACGGCCGGAAGTGAGTCGATTTAATTCGTTAATTAATTGGTTGATTGAGTTAATTAATTGGTTGATTGAGTTAATTAATTGGTTGATTGAGTTAATTAATTGGTTGATTGAGTTATTTAATTCGTTAATTACTAAACGGCAGGAAGTGAGTCGATTTAATTCGTTATTTAATTAGGTAATTAAGGAGGGAGGGAGACAACGGCCGGAAATGAGTCGATTCAATTAGTTAATTAATTGGTTGATTGAGTTATTTAATTAGTTAATTAATTGGTTGATTGAGTTATTTAATTCGTTAATTAGGGAGGGAGGGAGACAACGGCCGGAAGTGAGCCGATTTGATTCGTTAATTAATTGGTTGATGGAGTTATTTAATTAGTTAATTAATTGGTTGATTGAGGTAGGGAGACAATGGATGGAAGTGAGTCGATTTAATTAGTTGATTAAGGAGGTAGGGAGACAACGGGTCGTTTAATGACGTCACTGGGTATTTAATGACGTCACTGGGTATTTAATGACGTCATTGGGTATTTAATGACGTCACTGGGTATTTAATGACGTCACTGGGTATTTAATGACGTCACTGGGTATTTAATGACGTCACTGGGTATTTAATGACGTCATTGGGTATTTAATGACGTCACTGGGTATTTAATGACGTCACTGGGTATTTAATGACGTCACTGGGTATCTACTGACGTCACTGGGTGTTTAATGACGTCATTGGGTTTTGAATGACGTCATTGGGTTTTTAATGACGTCATTATTTTGGTAATGACGTCATTGGGTATTTAATGACGTCACTGTTTTTTAATGACGTCATTTGGGTTTTTAATGACGTCATTGTTTTTTTAATGACGTCATTGGGTATTTGATGACGTCACTGGGTATTTAATGACGTCATTGGTTTTTTTAATGACGTCACTGGGTATTTAATGACGTCATTGGGTTTTTAATGACGTCATTGGGTTTTTAATGACGTCATTATTTTGGTAATGACGTCATTGGGTTTTTAATGACGTCACTGGGTATTTAATGACGTCACTGTTTTTTAATGACGTCATTTGGGTTTTTAATGACGTCATTGGGTTTTTAATGACGTCATTGTTTTTTTAATGACGTCATTGGGTTTTTAATGACGTCATTGTTTTTTAATGACGTCATTGTTTTTTTAATGACGTCATTGTTTTTTTAATGACGTCATTGTTTTTTTAATGACGTCATTGTTTTTTTAATGACGTCATTGGGTTTTAATTCGTTATTTAATTAGTTAATTATCACTTATTTCCTCTTCTCTCTATCTTCACCTATTTCGCCATCTTTATCACCCATTTTCACCTTCTTCCCCATCTTCCATCATTGTATTTCCCTTATTCCCACCTTTATTCTCTATTCCCCTTCCTCCCCATCTTCATCCCCCATAACCCCTCCTCCCCACCTTCATCACTTATCCCCCATTTCCCCTATCTCCCATCTTTATCACATATCCCCCTCCCTCCCATCTTTATCCCCCATTCCCCTATCTCCCATCTTTATCCCCATTCCCCCTCCTCCCCCTCCTCCCCTACCTTCATCACTGATCCCCCATTGCCCCTATCCCAGCTCCCCTCCTCCCTACCTTCATCACTTATCCCCCATTTCCCTATTCCCCATCTTATCCCCCATTCCCCTATCTCCCATCTTTATCACATATCCCCTCCACCCCATCTTTATCCCCCACTCCCCCCTCCTCCCCATCTTTATCACATATCCCCCATTTCCCCATCTTTATCCCCCATTCCCCTATCTCCCATCTTTATCACCCATTCCCCCTCCTCCCCCTCCTCCCCCACCTTCATCCCCCATTCCCCCTTATTCCCCATCTTTATCACATATCCCCTATCTCCCATCTTTATCCCCCATTCCCCTTATTCCCAGAGGCGCGAGGGGAGACCGCGGCGACCACGGCCTACCAGGGGAACCAGGTCAGGTCATCGGCATAGGAGGCCTCAAGTACCCACTCCTGGTCAAGGGGGACGATGGAGAACCAGGTAAGGGGGTGGGGAGGGGGGGAGGGGGAGGAGGGGGAGGGGGGGTATTTTGGTTGTTTGGTTGGTTGGTTTTTTGTTTGTTTGGTTGGTTGGTTGGTTGGTTGGTTTTTTGGTTGGTTGGTTGTTTATCCACTCCTGGTCAAGGGGGACGATGGAGAACCAGGTAAGGAGGGGGAGAGGGGAGGGGGAAGGGGAGGGGGGGTATTTTGGTTGTTTGGTTGGTTGGTTTTTTGGTTGGTTGGTTTGTTTGTTTAGTTTGTTTGGTTGGTTGGTTGGTTGGTTGTTTATCTATGCACTCCTGGTCAAGGGGGACGATGGAGAACCAGGTAAGGGGGGGGGGGGGAGGGGGGGTATTTTGGTTGTTTGGGTTTTTTGTTTGTTTGTTTGGTTGGTTGGTTTTTTATTTGTTTGTTTGTTTGGTTGGTTGGTTGTTTTTTATCCACTTCTGGTCAAGGGGGACGAGGGAGAACCAGGTAAGGGGGGGAGGGGGAGGGGGGGTATTTTGGTTGTTTGGTTGGATGTTTTTTTTATTTGTTTAGTTGTTTGTTTGTTTGGTTGGTTGGTTTTTTATTTGTTTGTTTGGTTGGTTGGTTGGTTGGTTGTTTATCTATCCACTCCTGGTCACTTTTTGGTTGGTTGTTTATTTGTTTCTTGTAAGGGGGATATTTTGGTTGATTGGTTGGTTGTTTATTTGTTTGTTTGTTTGTTTTTATTTTATTTGTTTATTTATACCTTATTTGGCTTATTTGGGGAAGAGTTGGCAGTTCGTCTCTCGATTCTGATTTTTTTTGTTTTTTTTTGGTTTGTTTTTGTTTGGTTGGTTGTTTATTTGTTTGTTTTTTAAGGTTTTTTGAGGTTTAAGGTTTTTTTTAGTGTTTGTGTGTTTTTTTTTTTTTTTTTTCCTCACTCGCTTAATTGGACGAATTGGCAACTACGTCTGTGATTCTGATTTTTATATTTTTCTTGTTTTTTTTTTAGGAAGTTTTTGTTTTTGTGTTTTTTTTTTTTTTTTAGAGAGAGATTTGTGGTGTTCGTTTGTGTCTGTTTGTCTATTTTTTGTCTTATTTTTCCTCATTGTTTATTTATTTTCTTTTTTTTTTTGTTCGAAACGGAGAGTTGCCAGATTTTTCCATTCCCTATATTTATGTATTTATTAATTATAATTAATTATTATCTCTCTCTTGATAAATAAGATCAAAGTTAGGTTTTAATGCATGATTAATGAGTCATTATGATTATAAGTAATTAAATAAGGCAATACATTTCAAATTTATTTAAAAAATCAAAGTAAGAGAGAGATGGGTTAAAATGTATACTCTAATATATGTATATTTTTACTAGAACTTTTTAGACTGTATATTATATAAATATATATTTATTTGTTCACTTTGCATTATTATTAAATTATTAAATTATTCCCATTTACAATAATATCTATAATTTCATAATGATTTAGGGGAATCAGAGAGAGCGGGATTAAATTGTATATTTAAATCTTCTTTTTTTTTTTTGCAAATAAGTAAGACTTTTTTTTAGAGAGTATATTATATAAATATCTATACATATTTATTTGTTTACTTTCCAAGTATTATTCTCAGTTGCAATAATGCATGTCTATGATTTCATAATAATTTTGGGGTATCAGAGAGAGCAGGATTAAATTTTTTTTTTTTCTTTATATACAAAAAAGTAGGACTTTTTTTTTAGATAGTAAGCTATATAAATACACATATATACTTATTTATTTGTTCACTTTGTCATATCTTCTTCTCTTCATTTCCCCCTCCACCCCCCCCATCTTCCAATTCCCTTCCGTCTAACTAACGTCATCTCTCTCTCTCTCTCTCCTCTGTCTCCTCTATCTATCTCTCTATCTATCTAACTATCTATCTATCTCTCTCTCTCATTCTCTCTCTCTATCTATCTAATTATCTATCTATCTATCTCTCTCTCTCCTCTCTCTCTCTCTCTCCTCTCTCTCTCTCTCTCTCTCTCTCTCTCTCTCTCTCTCTCTCTCTCTCTCCCCTGTCTCCTCTCTCTCTCTATCTAACTATCTATCTATCTATCTATCCTTCCTCTCTCTCTCTCTCTCTCTCTCTCTCTCTCTCTCTCTCTCACTCTCTATCTATCTCTCACTCTCTATCTATCTCTCTCTCTCTATCTCTCTTTCTCTCTCTCTCTCTCTCTATCTCTATCTCTCTATCTCTCTCTCTCTCTCTCTCTCTCTCTCTCTCTCTCTCTCTCTCTCTCCCCTACCCCCTACTCTTACCCTTCCCCCCCCTTATAGGACCCCCTGGTCAACCTGGCCTGGGAGGCCTCCCCGGCCCCGCAGGTCCCAGGGGAAGACCAGGCCCCCGATGGTCCCCTGGGGCGTGGAGTGCCAGGTATTCAGGGCCTGAAGGGGTACCCCTGCAGCCCTGGGACATGGGACGCGTCGGCAGGAAAGGAGAGCCCGGGTATAATGGAAATCCTGGATTGGATGTGAGTTTTTAGGGTTTTTTTAGTTTTTTTAATGAAATTTCCTGGTTTTTAGGGATTTTTAAGGATTTTTACAGAGAGAGAGAGAGAGAGAAAGAAAGAGAGAAAGAAAGAGAATGAGAGAGAGAGTGAAAGAGAGAGAGGGAGAGAGAGAGAGAGAGAGAAAGACACAGAGAGAGAGAGAGAGAGAGAGAGAGGGCCTGAAGGGGTACCCTGGCAGCCCTGGGGACATGGGACGCGTCGGCAGGAAAGGCGAGCCCGGGTTTAATGGAAATCCTGGATTGGATGTGAGTTTTTTAGTTTTTTTTTAACAAATTTCCTGGTTTTTAAGGAATTTTTTTGTTGATTTTTCAGGATTTTGAACGATTTTTTTACCGTTTTT